GATAAAACGTTGCCAAACATTCTATTAGTTTCGCGTGTCTTGCCCTTTTTCAGTGTACTGGAAACTTTTTTTTGCAGCAGTGATTCAAGTATTTTGCCAAATGTAGAAAAGACATGGATCAAAATCCAGAATCCAACATATTTTAGTCACACCATGGAACCAAATGCAGGAAACATAAATGATCCTAGCATGAACTGAACGGAGAGCATTAACATTACAAGGCATGCCTAGTTCATTTATTTGAAAGGAATTGTTGTGGGGCAAATATATGTGCCTCTGTTGAAATGATCCTTCTCAGGTGGATGACTGGATGCCCTCCGAGACATGGCAATATAATTATAAAATAAAATTATTTTACATTTTTTCCCGACCTTTTAGCTATTTTTTCTCAAAGCAAAAATATTGAAAGCATCGACTAGGTATGTACTCTAACCTAAAAGTCTCTAACTCAAGTCTTCTAGGCCCAAGTGGAAAAACTCCAGAGAGGTAAGAAAATAAAGATAAATAGGCCCCTTCCAAAAACTCTCAAGAACCATATCCATCTCCTAAACCCTCATCTCTCTCGCTCTCTTATCAAAATGTCCCCAACCGTAGTTCGTTCCCTGGCCACCCGCCACCTCAGTCTCTGCGTCCTACTCCCCAAACGCCTCCTCTCCACCTTCTCCATAACCCATCCTCCTTCACTTCCTACTGTTCTTCCCTGCCGCCAATCTCTACCCTCACTCTCTCACGCTCTCCAGTCCATCAACAAAACCACTAACTACACCCGTTTCACGTCCATTCGATGCCGGGTCAATCGAGCTGGAAACTCGGGTTACTCGCCCCTCAACTCAGGGTCAAACTTTAGTGACCGGCCACCCAATGAGATGGCCCCGCTTTTCCCTGGTTGTGATTATGAGCACTGGCTTATTGTTATGGATAAGCCTGGTGGTGAGGGTGCTACTAAACAACAAATGATTGATTGCTATATTCAAACTCTTTCTAAAGTTGTTGGCAGGTAAAATGGGTAAACGGGTCTCGTTTTTTTAATTGAAAGTTTCGATTTTTGTGGCCTTCTTGATTGCTTATCTTTTTTATTATTATTGTTTTTTTTTTGCTATTAGTGAGGAGGAAGCAAAGAAGAAGATTTATAATGTTTCGTGTGAGAGGTATTTTGGGTTTGGATGCGAGATTGATGAGGAAACCTCTAACAAGCTTGAAGGTCTGTTCATTTTTTAAGTCACTGCAATTCAAAAGTTGGATTTACAATGCCTTTCCCACTTGTATTACGTTTTTATTTTCTTTGTTAATAGGTTTGCCTGGTGTTCTCTTTGTCCTCCCGGATTCTTATGTTGACCCTGAATACAAGGACTATGGTGGTAAGACTTTGTACTTCTTTCTAAGAGTACTACTAATTTGCTTTTGTTTAGGACTCATCTACAATTTCAGTGTTAGGATAACTCTATGTGTGTTGTTCTTTAACTCTGGGCGTTTGGAAGTAATATATTTTATGCATGTGCTTTAATGTTGATTTTGACAAAGATTTGGTGCATGAAGTTTTCGATGGGAAAAAATAATGGTGATGGCACGATTTGATTCTTCTTTAATGCACAGTCCATCTTGGCAAAGCTATAGAGTCTTATGGGCAATGTTTAGCTTTGAATGCTAATGGACTTGTATCAAATTGTTCTCTCTATACTGTTCTGTGCTTTATATTCTATGGAGATGCAGATCAGTTGAGATGAAACATGAATCCTACACCGTATGCCAAGTGTTTTAAAGATGATTTATGTAGTTATTTCCTTGGTGAATGTGCTTATAGGTTGATTATATCTTTTGTTTATGAATTGCAGCCTGTTCTGTTTCAGTCCATCTTGCCAAGGCTAAAAGCCTTAGGTGGACTATGTCTAGCTTTGAATGCTAATGGACTCACATCAATCTACTAACATTACCTGTGCTTTTCTTCTTGTGCTCATGGAGGTGCAGAATCATTTGATATGATACATAAATTTTATTGCTTTTGTAAAGTTCCTCTTAACTCACAGTCCATCTTGGCAAAGCTAAAGAGTCTTATGGGCAATGTTTAGCTTTGAATGCTAATGGACTTATATAAAATTGCTTTCCATACTGTTCTGTTCTTCATATTCCATGGAGATGCAGATCAGTGTAGATGAAATGTGTCTGCTACATTTTGTACTAATTGTTTGAAGGTTGAATTGTGTAGTTATTTCCTTGGTGAATGTATTTACAGGGTTGATTCTAACTTCTTCTTTTTTTATGGCTTGCTGCTTGTTGTATCTTTTTCTGTCCTGAATAGAAAACTTTGATAGCTTGATGAATATCATTTGTTTAAACTGGCTAGTTGACCCTGCATTCGATCTCTGCCTTTGATATCTGTTCTTGAGACTGCAAAGGCTTATGGTTGTGGCTGCATGGTTAACTTTTGTTGGTTCTAGAAGTTAGATATGGTCTTCATCAATCCAAATTTTAGTCTGAACTTCCCTTTATTTTACAGGCCTAACTTCCTCTCAACTAACACAATGCTTTCAATGGACTAATTTTAGTCTGTTGCTTCTTCACCCTCATGGTGAAGAGGTTCTTTTCCCACCATTGAATAGTTTAGAGACTTATTCGACATAATATTCCTTTTCCTAACGTTGCATGGCTTTCTTTTAATGGCAGCTGAGTTATTTGTGAATGGAGAGATAGTTCAACGGCCACCTGAAAGGCAGAAAAGGGTGGAGCCACAGCCACAGAGAGCAAATGACAGACCAAGATATAATGACAGAACCCGATATGTGCGTCGCAGAGAAAATATGCGGTGAAGCAGCACTGCATGGGAAAAGCTTGCTGTATAGTTTCTGCAATTGGAAGCTTGTCCTGCGTGGTTATCAATGGTGTCCGTAACTATTTAATGTAGCCAGTTGAACCAAGGATATTGTATGTGATAAATTCATGTTTCTCTCCTTGACATGTCCCAACGTGAAGCGTCTGAATGTAAATTCCGCTATCCTCGTAATTTTTGCTTTTTTGTTCCTTTCAGGTCAGGCGTATCAGCTGCTTGTTAGGTTTTACTTTGCACTGAACACATGGTGGAAATTGTAAGATACTTTCGGTGGTTGTCCACATTGAGGGGGGTGGTTTAGCTTTATGGTTTTGCACGTCCCTGTTAGCAGATATGAACTGTGTGAGTATGGGATCCTCATACTTGCTCGCTGGAAAGAGCGTGTGGCCCTTCGCAGAAGGGGAAATGTTCTGAATAATATTACAGCAAAGCCTCGTTCATAAACTAGCTGGGGTTTGTATATGATGTTTTTTTGCACGATCTTCATGGTGGCAATGGTCCTGATAATCGGACCCAGAGGCTCTCTTTTTTTTCTTTCCTGATTTGATTATGATAATTGTTTCACACGTCCTACTTAATGTGCGGTAATTGGTTAGGTTGTGAAAAATGCTTTTTAGCTAAACTTAAATTGTAAATTTTAATCGTAAAACTATAAAATTATAAATAAAATGTTTTACTTAATTATATATTAATGATATAATTAAAATAAACGTAAAATAAATAATAAAAAAGTTCAAGCTTTTTTTATTTTTTTCATATTGATTCTTATATTTTTAGACAAATTGACTTATTTAAATGAGTTTTTTTAAATTTTAATAGGTTATTTAACATTAATTACTTCAAAAGAGTCAATCATATTAATTTATAATTTTTATTTTATATATTTGCAAGCTAAAATAGAAAAATATATCAATTAATATGTTAATAATATATATATTAATTAATAATATATAAGAATATGATTAGATAATTTTATTTTACAAAAATAAAATCCAAAAATGATTTATATTATTAAAAAAATTATAATATTTATGATCAAAATTATAATAAAAAATTAGATTGCACAAGTTTTATGATATATAAATTTGGAATAATGAAAATGTTAAGATATAAATTGTTAGATCGTATAATTCCATATTTATTTTAAACTCATAAAATTGGTTTTGAGTTTATCAATTTTATCGAGCTTGAAATTTGGAATAATGAAAATGTTAAGATACAAATTGTTAGTATCAATTTTATCGAGCTCGATGGAATTTCACAGATTTTACTAGTTTTTAGTTTGATTTTACATGTTAGATACATCTTGACTTGTAAAATCATACGATTTTATGAGTTAATTTATGATTTTGACACTAGTAATCGATAAAAAATATATATTTTTTTTTACAAGTGTTTAAAGATTTACTCGTCATAATATTCTTTATGTTAAATCAATTTCATTTTTAAATTTTTTTTAACGGTCAATCAATTTACTTAAGGGTCAATTAAATTGATTAGATTATGTTGAGAAATTTTTAAGTGACTTAATTTTAAACCAGTGTTATGTGAATAATTGAGTTGAGATGTTGTTTTGTTATTTTTATTATTTTTTATCAATTTTATCCTCAAATTTTTTTTATATAAAAGACAAAATACTTTTAAATAGGTTAAGTAGAGTCGATCGCATTGAAACAACTCTCAAATAATTTGATTTTATATCCCTCCTAGATAAAAGAGTTGAGTTTGAGGATTTTAAAATTGATATATTGCACTGATTTTAATAATAATATTAAATAATTTTTTGTTATTTTGATTTTTTTATTTAATTTTTTAATTTGATTCACAGTATAGCATGTGCTGCTTGTGTCATTAAAAGTAGATATATACCTTATTTTATTATTTTATTGGATGTAGATATATAAAATTTTTATCTTTGTACAATTTCATTATCATCCCTAATTTAGATGTTTTCATATCATGTCCATCTTATAAAAGAAATAAAAAATTAATTTGAATTCAGAAATTGCACTTTCTAGAAATAAATTAAATTCATTTTTTTATCAATTGTTCTAGATGGTTTGCTAAGAGCTTAAAGATTTAAATATTTCAACATTAAAAGAAAAGGAAAGAAAATTAAAAATATATCGTTGTAATATCGACGACACGAGGCAACAAATGGGGGGCGTGTCATTCATGAGAAATCAACAAGGAGGGGAAGGGGATCCTAATAGGTCGTCGCCTCGTTCTTCTATTTCTCATTTTTTGGGCTCCTAATCTTAAACTGCAAATATATGGTGTTTGTTCGTGGCCATCTTCTACCTTAGGTCTCTTCTATCTCCTCCGCACAACTCTCATCTCCTCCTACTTGTAGGCTGTAACTAAGCATAATTAACTATTTCCTCCGCCTCCGCCTCCAATTCGCCATCCTCCGACTTCTCCACTCTGCTAACTGCCATTTAGGTACGTCTCCAAACAAACCTCTTCGTGCAGTATATTTAATTTAACTTATTTTTCTATTATCTAGACTGAATATTGTTTTGTTCTAGAAACAAACTTAATCAAGGTGAGTTTAGTGTAGGAATTTTAAGCAAGTTTTTCGAAAGGTGATTTTGATTCTTTGTTAAAACACATGCATTAGTGTCTAATATTAGGAATAATCTGTGTTATTTTCAGATTTATTGGAAGTCTCTTCATTCTTCGTTAAACCTGTATGTATCTGGAAGATTTTGATATAATGCCCAACAGTAGTTAATGTGTTAGGCTTCATGGCATTTTGGAGTGTCCCACTGAACAATAGTTTGATAAATGGATGCGTAATGTTAGGTGCCTACCTCAGAGTTGTTACTTGGTATTGAACCTGTAATCTCCCTCCCTGTTATTGTTTTTTCCCAATCTGTTGTCACAAGGGTTTCAATTGTTAAAACACATGGATTAGCGACAAATACTTGCTTTATGTTGGTGCATATCTTTCCTCTGGGCTCAGGATAGTTATAGAGCGACTGTTTTACTAACAGCCAGAGTTTCACTGGCTTTTCTGCATGCTCCACAATTTTCACACTTCAAGGCTCGCTTTTTTCCATGCTCTCCTAGGGCCGCAGAAGTCACTGTTTTTAGTTAGTTCGTATCAGGCATGATGAGCAGATCCAGTCGGCATAAAGACAAGTATGAAAGAAGTAGTGAGATGTCTCAAGATCACCAGTATGAAGGAACTGCTGCACGGACAAGACCGTTCAGCTTTGATGAGATTATGTCCATTAGGAAAAACAAGAAAGCATCTGAAATTTTGGAAGGAGAATTAAAAGATATATTAGGAGGTGTTATTAATGAGAAAGCTTCTGATCATAGATCTGAAAGGGGTAATGGCCACAATGAAGAATCTTCAACTGGTCTCCGACAGCACTTGTCAGAGGAACATGGCAAGGCGAGTTACAGAGAAAAAGAAGATAATGTTTCCATGAAGGAGGATTATATAGTCAAAGGCAGAGATAGAGATGTTCGAGATTCAGAAACAAATTCAAAGTCCAAAATGAACGAAGATATGAGAACTGAAATTAAAGAAAAGACTAACGAAAAAATTCACGACAGGAGAAAAGTTGATAAGCGGCCAAGCAATATTTCTGAAAGCGAAGCTGTGAAGAAGCATTCAAGAGACATGCAGAAAGATAGACATGTGGACAAAAGTAGAGGAAAATCTGAAAGAGACAGAAAGGAAAAATACAGGAATGGTATTGATGATAAAAGTAGAGACAGGAATGCTGCAAAGAAACATGATTTAGGAAAAGGGCATCATTTAGAAACTTCCGAGAGAAAGGAAAGGAAGGAATCTTCAAAATATCATCATGAAGAATTAAGGCTGAAAAGGAGACGATCAAGGAGCCGAGAGCACGAGGACAGAAATAGAAGGTCTATTTCCCGCTCACCAAGGGCACACAAACATGGTTCTTATCACAAAAGAGAACATGTGGAATTGTCCTCGCATTCTGTCAAAGAAAGGTCTGGACGACAACAATCTGATGCTGAAAATAACCAACTTACGAACAGTAGTTCTAGTAGGCATCAGAGGAGACATGGTGGCTTTGCAAGCGGGCTTGGTGGCTATTCACCAAGGAAGAGAAAAACTGAGGCCGCTGTTAAGACTCCTTCCCCAACTAAACGCTCACCAGAGAAGAAAAGTGCTAAATGGGACCTTGCACCAGAAGAAACAAGCAGTGTCTTTCCTGCTGTGATTCTCTCTAATTTTCAATCACCAAACGAAACTGCATCTTCAAATATACATGAAGTGGTCAGTGCTGTTCCTGTTGTTTCAGTTCCAATGAAGCCTCTTTCCGGGGTTTCACTCAGTTCTCTGTCAACCGCTATGAAAGTCTCCACTGAATCCATTCAACTTACACAAGCGACCCATCCTATAAGGAGGCTTTATATGGAGAACATTCCAGCTTCGGCCTCTGAGAAAGCTGTGATGGACTGTCTTAATAACTTTTTGATTTCTTCAGGCGTCAATCATATCCAAGGAACCCAACCATGTATAAGCTGCATTGTAAGTTTCTAATTTGTATTTGAATAATGTCCATGTTATTCGTATCAAGCGTATGGTTACAATTGAATAATGTCCATGTTATTTGTATCAAGTGTATGGTTACAATTGACTTGTGGCATGTCTTACCATATATTATCTGCAGATGCAAAAAGAAAAGGGCCAAGCTCTTGTGGAATTTCTGACTCCAGAGGATGCTTCAGCAGCTCTCTCTTTTGATGGCCGTTCCTTCTCAGGCTCCATTATCAAAGTCAGACGGCCCAAAGACTTCATTGAAGTGGCAGTAAGAATGACCATCCTCCATTTCTTTTAAAGTTTAATAGCTTTGCACTAATATTTATGATTTATTGTTTTTCTGGCTTATTCATGGGGTGCTATTGTTTGGAATTTTTTGGTATTGTCTATTTTGAAGTTAATTGGTCTGTCTGGATGCCTAGAAATAGATTTGATCTTTTTCAATCATTTCTTTTCCCTGTTTCTCTTTGGTGATGATTTATTTTTAGGTCAGTTGTCTTTTCCACTAGAATTTCTAACTTTAATCTAATTGCTGCAAGTTCTTATGATGTTATGATGTGTATATCTGTGTATTTTGGAGCTCTATTTTTCTCAAGTCATATAGTACATCAATTCCTATGTCTAGTCAATTGGAAACCTTATCAGTTGCAAGAGATAGTTTTATTAGCTATAAGGAAATGACAGTAGAAAAGCCAAGTTCTCTGTAATCTGTTCCAGCCTGCATGGTGATCAGAATCAAATCTTAAGACACGATTGATATTTTCCTAAATTACTTTGAAGCGAGGAGTGCTGCAGTGGTGAGCTCGGTTTATGCCAGTGTGCTGTTTAAAATGATATTAAGGCGTGACCTTTTAGATGATTGATTGCATGCTATTGTTGTTCTTTCAGAGTAATTGAGAAAGATGGATTTTTATGACTAGGGTTTGATATATATATACACACACATGGCATGTATTTATTCACTGTAGATTTTAGGCTTAAAATGTCAGGTTATGATTCTACTAGTTAATCTTGTCTGCAAATATTTTACCTGCGCCTGAACAATCATTTTGCAAGAATGGTATTATTTCTTTGCAAATGGGTGTTTACCAAGCCAACAACTTATAAAGTTGGTTGCATTGGTTAACAAGAGAATGAATTCAATGCATCTAACTGTTTGTAAAATATTGCACAGAAAATTAGTTATAACTTACATAATGCAACAACTGATCAGAAAGAGAGGTTTCGGCATTTATCTAACTCCTGTGACAGTTTTGCTCTCAGATGCATTACTTGCTCTTGAACCTGCAATTCATTATTGTGTATTTGTTGTATGCATTTAGTATTTTATTGATCTTTTGTATCTAACGGCTTTCAAAAAGATGAAGTTTAATGCAACTATCAATGGTCAATCTATTTGTAGGCCAAATAATATTGGGTTAACCAAGAAAGAGGTGGCTCCTGATATGAAGTTATTACTCTCTTATTCTTCCCATCATTTATAAATGGGGAGTTGTAACACTTGCGGTTACTCTTTTTGACTGTTTTGGTTAAAATTATAGCATGCTCTCGGAGTTTACTTGCTTCCTCTCACATGCACATGGGTCTCGCTTGTGACAACTACCAACAGATCCCACATCCATGTGAGAGGAGCCGGCTTCCATTCTACAGTGAAGTGAGCTTGTGCTGTATGTAATTGCAGTAGTTTGCAGTTCACTGGGTATCAGTGCTATCAACTAGTGGACTGTATTCTGGAAACTATTTTGAGATGTGTGCCTTGAATATTAGACCATCCCTAAAAGTTTCTGTGCTACTCGTATAAAAGTATGTATTTAGATAAAATGAACCCTTGTGTCATATACAAATACCAAACACAGGAGCTATACTTTATGGAGTTGTCTAGTTCAGGATTTTCTGGTTTTGGTATATTCAAAATTGTGGGTTATGGAAGATTTCTTAGTCCTTATCATATAGGCGAGGGCCTCATAATTGTGAGATCTTGCATGATTTTGTCGTTGGTTTTCATAGACTCCTTAGATTTTGCTAGCTCTGCGGAAGCAAAGCAAGATTGTCCACAAATTTAACATAGGAACTGTTTCTGTAACTTCACAAACTTTATATTGCACATGGAATATTCTGTTTGCCTAGTTACATGAGATTTATTCTGACTGTCATGTTGGAATCTCTTAAATAGGATGTTTATATTGGGTGTGTGGTATTTCACGTACTGGATGGTGATGAAGCTGTCTCCTAAATAAGAAGATATCCAGGTGTAGTGACGAGTTTGATGGTGCTTCTTTCTCTGGCATTGGTTTTGGGCTACTGATCTAGGCTGCTCAAACAGTAATTTTTTCGTCTAAGGAAATGCAGTGCTGTATGTTATGTATTTAATGTGCTAATTCAATAATGCTTTAAGGTGTATATATATATATATATATATATATATATATATATATATATATATATATATATATAGGATAGTTCTGTCATTCTCTGTTATCAACTCTGAATTTTCCCAGCATATTTACTTACATTATAGTTTTTGAGTGGCATGATGTTGTCTGCTAAATATTCTCCTCATAACATTGGCATGGTTTTGCACATTCTTTTATTGATGTTAACTTCTCTTCTTTAAGTTCAATTCTGTATATTTCTTGCCTTAACAGAAATTTAGAGAAAACATGAGAGATATGGTACAAAATGTTTATTGAAGGGATCAAGATCTAACAATTAGAAGTTCATAGTTTTGACTAAAAGGATATTTCATTCCATCGAGTAACTATTTTGATGTTCTTGTATCATTATTTCTCTATTATGTTAATTCTGGCATCATGTCTGCCATAGATGAAAGCAGGGCTGATGACATAATTGGTTTGCTCTATATTTGCTGGAAACAAACCAATATGCAGGTTCAATCTTGATCTCAAAGTACTGTTTCTGTGGCATACACAGTCTCTCACCTTGATTATCATTGCATTTGAACTTTTTTAGAGATATAAGCCTTTTGATCATGGAATGGGTACTGTAAAACAGAAAAAATCTCGCGCATTTGGTGCTATTAAATCAGAATATATGGATTACATTTTATTTATTGCCTCCTATTGTATCCTCAGTTTTCATGAAATCTGTTTGATTTTATACTCGTTGGTTGAATTTGTGTATTGTAAACAGAAGCTATTTTTTTGTTCCATTGATGCTTTCAGCTTCTTCTTTGCTTTTTCTGAGGTATATTGTGGTTATTATCCATGTAGCAGGTTTTCAGACAGTTGCTATTTTCATGCAGACTGGTGAACTAGAAAAATCAGCAGCTGCAATTGATGCAATTGGTGATATTGTTAAGGATTCACCTCACAAGGTGTGCACCATCATCCTTATAACTGATTTTTATGTTTGCTTTAACTTCCAGTTAGCCAGGTCTTTTCTGGTCCTCTGGCATGAACAAAAAGCTAGGGTTTTCATTTCCTCTTTCTTATAACTTTTTTTTTTTAAATTTAATTGTGAACCTCGAGTGGCAATTTTCAGTTTGTATGTGTTTCCAATGGAAGTTCAAGAAATTCCTTGTTAATGACATTAACTGATGAACATAAATTTTTCTTTGTGCCCCCCACCTCTTTCCTTTTCTAATATTTGAAAAGATGATTTTCAGCATTCACAGAAAAATGCTTTCTTCTACCACATGGGTGAGACAAATTTCAGGAGTTAGTGACCACATGGGGAGGGACAGGGGAACTTTAAGGTGAAAAAGGAGGTCCCAATATAATTTAATTGCAGTGAATTGTTTTACTTATAAAATAGCTTGTGCTTAAAACCCTATTCACCGCTGCTCTTGCTAAGCTAGTAGCTTAACTGATAAAACAACTGGTGTGTAGCTGGGACTTGAGACTTTACAGGGTTAAACTGATTTAGCCACGCTTTTATTTTTGTCCTTCAGTTGTAGACCTGAAAGGAACTGTTCCTTGCTTTAATCCACATGTAATCACCACCTCCTTTGTGTTTATTTCTTATTATTTTTACTGGTTGGATTTTCATTATTATTGAATGTAATTTTATCTTGTTGTGAGTCTCTATTGCTTGTATCTAGTTACCTGTTATGCTACTTGCTTTGATTTATATTTACAATTTTGTGCTTATTTTTCTGTTTTGAGTTATTTGTGCAGATTTTCATTGGTGGAATTTCAAAGGTTCTTTCTTCTAAAATGGTAATTTGACGCTAAAATTTTCAATTCTTTGTGTATAGTGTTCCTTCAGAGAATGGCCTCTAGGGTTCCTGCATTTCCATACGCTTCTCCATCTCTCTGCAAAATTCCTACACCCTTTCCGCCTTCCATATCCTTTATTTTATTTCCATTTCTCCAATTTCCTCAGTTCTGTAAGTGACATCGATGTTCTTGCTGCTTTTATAGCTCATGGAGATTGCTAGTGCCTTTGGACCTCTGAAGGCATACCAGTTTGAGAATAGTAAAGATTCTGATGAGCCATTTGCCTTCCTAGAGGTAATATAGCATATTTGTGCTGTTGCTCACATTTGCTTCAAGAGAGGCATACCACTGTGATGTTAGAACACTTAGGGTTCACCTTTACATGAATTTTACTGTGCTTCTTTGTTCATTATTGTTTTCTTTGTAACTTAATCCTCCCTTTCTCCTGACCTTGACCGTCAAATAACTGATCTATACTCTTGATATCAGTATGCAGACAAATCGATTACTTTCAAGGCTTGTGCGGGTCTCAATGGTATGAAGTTAGGAGGCCAAGTAATAACTGCCATTCGAGCTGTTCCAAATGCATCCTCCTCGGTAGTTCCTCACCACCCTGATTCCTCTACTGAAAATTCAATATCAACTCTATGCATCACTTGGTAATGGGAACTAACATAGAAGCACCACATTTTAGGGAAGTGATGGAAATCCACAATTTGGCCAGATCTCTCAGCATGCAAAGGCACTTCTTGAGAAGCCTACAGAAGTCTTAAAGCTTAAAAATGTGGTATGGTATTATGTTTCTTGTTATATATTATTTTGGCAATTCTTTCATGTTTCTATATTTAAACTTTATTTTGGATTGATATTTTTTTTTTTTAACAATCTATTTTTTCCTTGTCCTTTTCTCAATATTAAATAGTTTGATTCAGAAAGCCTTTCATCCCTATCTAACACGGAAGTTGAAGAAGTATTGGATGATGTGCGTTTAGAGTGTGCCAGGTATGAGTAAACGAATTTTTCATTATTGGTTTCTAACTTTATAGTAATTCGAATCATGGTTTGGAATATATGTTCACCTCTCAAACCTGCAGGTTTGGCTCTGTTAAATCCATTAATGTTGTCAAGTATGCTGCAATTACCATATCTACTTCAAAATCATGTGAATTCAATGATGATACGGTATCTACTGAAGCTACACAAAGCTTAGGTTGTGATGGTACAAATCCTAGAACAAGGAACATCAGCGGATCTATTGACCAAAAGTTTATGGAAGGCAACAGCATTGGTGATGATAAACCAGCAAGTGATGTCATGGAGGAAGAGCCATGCCAACCAGGTCAGGTTGACAGTGATATGGCTGTTCAAGACTTAGCATGCAAGAGTTCATCCGATTCTCAAGAACCCCCTCAAGATGTGTCAGACAGCAATGTCGACAAGGTCACTGATGACATTGAAATTGAGGGAGTCCATGTGGAAAACAAATCAAAAGCTGGAGAAGATTTGAATTTGAAGGAGGTGGGAGATAACAAATTAATGGCTGGAGAAGAGTTAAATCCGGAGGAAGTCAGTGGAGATGTTGAAAAAGCTTTTGTGAATGATAGCCTGGAAATGAAACCAAATTCGATTGAGAAGGGAGATTGCAAGGAACAGGATTGTAATCTTGGACTCATTTTTGAGCCAGGATGTGTTTTTGTGGAGTTCAGAAGAACAGAAGCCGCATGCATGGCAGCACATTGTTTACATGGAAGGTTATTTGATGACCGTGCTGTGGTGGTGGAATATGTTCCTCTTGATATTTACCTTGCCAGATTCCCAAAATGATTGTTTAGTAGATGCCATGAACTAATGGGAAAACCACGTGCATGCAGACTGACGAGGGGATTTTCTGTTCATGCCTGGTAAAACACCCACCCTTTTTGACATTCGGATCAGGATTGAACCTTTGTTTAATCTCAACCTTTTTCCATATGACATGTCGGAGACCATGTTTTTTGAACTGCAGGGAAACTTGCAAAATGCTGAAATCATAGTCACTGGTTGGAGTTTGAAAGTTTGAGGATCTGGGTTGGTCTGAACTAGGTTGATCTATTGAATTGATCATTCACGTAATGGGGCTAGTAGAGCACATACATGAAGGATAAGGCTGAAAGAGTCATTTGCTAATGTAATATTTTCCTTTTATTAAAGGAGTTTTCATCTTCTTGCATATGCAACAAGTACGTTGAAGGTCAAGGGTTCAACTCTTAATTCCAAAGTGGGATGATAATTCATCAAGTAAATGCTTGCGATACAGGAGGGAAGCGTACTGCCATGGTTCTGGTTCCTGTTTTCCAAGGTACCCTTCCCTCCCAGAAACAAAAAAAGAAAAGAAAAGAAGAGGAATTTAGGGTTTGTGTATTATCATTTGTGGTTTTCCCTACGAAAAACTTGTTTGTATTACCAACATGTTACCAAAACTTTCAAGAGCCACATTCTTAAAAGTACACTTGTTTTTCTGTAGAAGTACAAATTTGGCAATTTCGCAACTGGTTACAGGTTCTTATTCTGTAGAAGTAAAAATCAAAACAATTAAGCTCTATGTTTTTGCTTCTGTTTTGAACAAAAACAGAAACCTTAATCTAATTAGATTGTTGGACCAAAGCATAATGAAATTTAATGATATTATCAATGTAATTGATCGGTTTTCATTGGAAAATAAATACAATAATAACATAGCAATTCGATCAATCATGTTTCCTAGTTCATCATATAATTTTGACTGTTAAAGGAGTTTATCCCCTCTCTTTGTTTTTGGGCTTCCATTGTTTTTTAAATTAACACCAAAAAATACAAATTTTACGATTTTTTTAATCATTTCTTTGTTTTGTAATTTTGTTAAAAGATAGTTATGTGATAATATATTTAATATTGCCAAAAGTATGAATTTCATTGCCCATTTTTGGGCCTCGTGTAGCCCAGCCCGAGTGAGAAGGTTGATGGTCCCTAACCCAGCCCAACCCAACCCAAGAGAATACACACACCGTCCATCAAATACGAAGAGGAAAGAAAAACAAGAGGCCTCAAATGAAGAAGCTGCTGCTGCTACTCAATACATGTTATCCGTTTCTGCCAATTTGAGAGAAGATAACAAGCAATAAGCAAAAGGAAACACAGAAGAAGAAGACAATGGCAACAACAGCAATAGGGGTAGGGATTGGCGTTGGAGGAGGAGTGTTGCTTGGAAACAGTAAATGCTTCCGCAAAACACAGCAGCTATCTATTTCGAAGACTAGTCTGGTTTCGGTTTCAGAGATAGGGTTTGTTACTTCTCAGTTGAGTGGCATCAGAATTTCCTACAACCCACCAAAACCACTCTCCGCTCCTTTCTCTCCCGCTCTCCAACCTGTCATCGCCCGTAAAATTTCCTCTCTTTCTCTTGTTTTCGTTTGTTCTAGATTATTTAATAAAAGTTTTGATTTGTTTTCATAGACATGGCGTTTTTTATTTTTTTTTGGATTAAAGCCACCCAGCATTGCTAATGTCTGATACGGGGCAGAGCTAGTCCTTGCTTATTTGATTTTTGTTCTTCATGTACATGGGACTCGGTTGGTGCTTGCTATATTACAGCGGTTTAGATTTTGATTAATTCTGTTATGTGATTCGTTTTTTTCTTTTGTTTTTGGCAGGTAGAATTTGTCCCTTTACCGGGAAGAAAGCAAACAGGGCAAACAAAGTTTCATTTTCAAACCACAAGACCAAGAAGTTGCAGTTTGTCAACTTGCAGTACAAGAGGGTGTGGTGGGAAGCTGGCAAGCGCTATGTCAAGCTGCGATTGTCAACCAAAGCGTTAAAGACTATAGAAAAGAACGGATTGGATGCTGTTGCTAAGAAGGCTGGCATAGATCTTCGCAAAAAGTAATAAATTGGGCCTTGTGGTTTTGTTTCCAGTTGATGGTATATTTTGGTTTTCTGTTATTCACCCCCTGTCCTTTTGAATTCTTCCCTGAAATCAGTGATACCATCTTTACATATCACAAGCTGGCAATTTCTCTTTATTCATGTGCTCTGGCTTTTCATTTATATCTAAAATGGTATTGATTCCTCTATCAGGAAATGCAGAATAGTTTCACATAATCTTAGTTGTAGATTATATTAGTGTTCTTGAAATTTTCAGAATAGGTTCTCAAATTTCAGGCTAGATGGTTCTTCCTTTTCTCTTTCCAGTGCTCAAGCATTTTGCCATCATTGGAAGTGGATGGATGACTGATTGCTTTAATTTTGAAAAAGAAAGCAATCTAGGTGCGAGTATTTTTTGCAACATTTCGGACCAGATACCGTGATATCCAATCGATGCAATCCGGACTCATTGAGCCATGGCCGGATATCTTTTCTGATCATGTAATATCCAAATCCAGCCATGTGCTCCCGTTCCATTCCCATGCAGGTAGCAGTGTAGAGAAGCTACTTAACCGAGAAAAGAGCACCCAAGAGATAGAGGAACCTTGAAAAAGAAATGGTGAATGAAAATAAAACGAAAATTTGATCCCATCTCGTGTTTGCACTTGAGCATCAGTTCCCTTCTAGCAAGCTTCTCATGACACCATTACATCTTATACAAGGTGAGAGTTTTGCAATAGCGTCATCACCCTCTTCTACGACAATTCATCAGTTCAGAGCTGACACGGTATCAAAATGAAGTCATTCTGAGAGTATTTGATGCCTCTAAGCACTGCACGAGCAGTTCAATAATACCAAAATTGCAATACCAAAACTAATGCTTTTGTTGGGTTAATTATAAATTACACTGTTCTCAGCCGATGGATCTCACTTTTTTAGAGTTTGGAACTTCGGTATTGCAGGTAGTCACTTCTCTACCGAAAACTTCCCTACGGCAACAATGTATTGCTATATTTTAAATCTGTTGCCACATATTTTGCCAAATGGAAAGAAATCTATTCAGGTTCCTTTTTCGCCTTCTTGTCAATCGATTAGTATCATCATCAAGAGCCAAAAGAAGAGAAAAAAAGAAGAAAAAAACCTAAATTTTAAATTTTGAATGCTATTTTTTTCTTCGGGTAAAGAAACCTGATTAAGCTATCATTTCAGTTTCCAAAAGTCTGCATCAAGATCTCAGTCATGCCTGCAAAAGTAGAAATACCAGGTGGTCAATTTCAGTAAACACAAGAAACGATATTGTTATTCTAGAATCTGGTAAACTACAAAAACATCTTGAAAACTTCTCCACAGCCTTTGCAAGTAACTTAACAAGCACAGAAAAGGATAAAAAAAAAAAAACCTTATCCTACATTGAAAGAAAACTCACCCTTTCAAGAAGTGGTTTTCTTTGGCAGATTCACATCGTCAGCAGAGTAATAATCAGCAATGAGCCGGTGCATGAATGACGGGTTATATCCTCCTCTGCAGCGTAAAGAATGATCAGTACTTAAAAACACACACAAGCCGTTTCTAATAATAAGAACACAACATAGTTACAATTAAAAGAATAAAACTGTACAACAGACAATCCAGTTAAACTTTTGCCAATTTGTTTCGTAATGGTGATAATTGGAGATAGAGAAGCTAATTTCCCAAGAAAAAGAAGAACAAGCTTGCTTCCTAACACTTAGAATGGTCGTACATGTCGGTAATGAAAAGACTGACAAGCTCTGGTGGCACATAATCAAATGCAGGATTGACAACATTAAGTAGAGGAGTGCCGCTGCCAATGCTGAAGTCCAAGCGATCTGAGAATTCCCCGTATTGCAACAGTTCTGATGGACACCTCATTTCATTTAGCAAGACTTGTGGATTTTGCGGATATAATGGACACAACTGCCAGATAAATAAGACAGCATTATCAACAAAAAGCAAACAGGTAATATCTGAGTCAAAGCAAAATTCGTAAGGATTGAGAATTTGCAGGACAGTTTTGAGCATGAACACACAGATAGGCATTGATTTTGTATGGATTGTTACCATTTGGACAGTTTCATGTGAAGGCTTCAGACTTGCTCTTCTATAAAGCGAGAAGCTTTGCGATATTAATTTTTTTTTTTAAATTTTTAAAGCGAGAAGCTTTGCGATATTAATTTAAAAAAAAAAAAAATTTATGCTTTAGCAGATCAAGGAATGCTAATGGAAAATCTCCAAAGAATAAATGTTCTATCCAATAGGATGTTTTTGTTAGCATACCTTATGAGTACCAGCAACCACAACAAATGGAACAGCATGCTTCCTGGCAGCAAGTGCAACCATGTTCAACCCAACAGGACCTAAGACGCCTCCATTAGCCATCACGGCATGAACTCCAACTACAACCTTTACCAGAAGTCCCAATTTTAGGCAGCTAAATTATATTCATCAATGAAAGAGCAAGGCATTTGAAGCTGGCAATTACCATGTTCACTCGAGAAATCATTGCAAAAACTGCAGAATCAGCAATCAGTGTAGTCTGTAAGCCTCTTGCTACGAGGTCTTTTGCAAGGGCATGCCCCTGATACCTAATTTATAGAAATGAATCATTAAGGAAAGGGAGATTAAATACTCAATGAAAGGAGTGAGGCGGGAGACTATTTATGTTGCTTTCACATTAAGATTTCTACGTACTTTGGAGCTCCTTCAGCAACAAAAACCTGAAAAGATCTTTTATCTTTTGCAGCACATAGGAATTCCCTCACAGTTCTTGAACGACCAAAAGTTAAAATAATCTCACTGAAAATTATTACAAATAGTTAAAACTAATGCAAACATTAAAGGGCTGTGACAAATATAAGCAGGCAAGATTGTTCAGCGAGGAGAAATTCAGGCTAAAGAAATAGATATAAGACCAGTTATTAACATAAAAAGTTAAAATGAATAAGCAAGCGAGTTCTCTTTAAGAATACACTCTTTTAAAGGCTTTAAGATGCACCGTCAGCCTATCTGATGACTCAAGTTTCAGGGTACTTTTGCAGCATTGTATTGGAAAATATCAAACAGATTTCTCAGTGTTACCATATGTACTACTTGTTCAAGCACTGAAACTCAGGGAAGGAACCAATGGCACTTAAAATCTGATAAAATGAAGATTCACAAATTCAATCTACTAGACCAAAATCCCCTTTATGGGGCAATGCTATACAAAGTGCGATGATATAATGAATCAAACAAGAAGGTAAGCTATACAATCTTCTGAAAGATGAAATGAGAAAATCTGACTACGAGTTTATCATTCTTTTTATGCTTCCATATTAGATCTTGGAAAACTTAAATAAACTGGTTAAAACCGGATTATGTAACTTCTTTTGCCCAGACCCAGAGTGTCTAAAGCAGTATAGTTGAAATCAATAATATGCTTGGGAGGAAACAGTCTTAAGGTAATAACGTGAAGCATCTTGAGATAGAAAATGTTATGGAGTGGTGATAATATATACTTTTGATGAATAAGCTCCACTGCATGTTCTGCAATCTGTTCGTGGCAACTGTTTATATCTTCGATGAGTTCATTAACTGCCCGCATCACATCATGCTTCAATTTCCAGATCTCTGTGTTTCTATCGGCTGCTGCAAGGGATAACATGCCATTACACACCAAAACCCAAAAATGCTTTGAAGTGAATGCTGCTTTTGCTAGAGACCATTGTATTTCTCTCTGATAAATGAGGTTCGGCAAAATTGAAAACATTTTCATTCTTGAAATCTGTAATTATCGAACTTAGAATAATATTGGGAAAATGTTCAAGGCAGAAAAAAATATGTGTGGGGGGTTTTTAACCTAAGCTTTAAGCATATAGCAGCTTACATTTTCCATTTCCTTCGAAAGAATCTACAATATAGGAAGAGCGGTGAGCTATTGCCGAATGAGGTGTGCGGTCTAGAAGGGAATGCAATGAAGGGGGGCGCGATGGAGGTCCTGCAGCAACAGCAGCCACATTTTGAGCTCGGAAATCTCTCTGTTCAGCAGTATCCCTGCTATCACCGCCAGCAGATGATACCAGTCCTCTAAGAGCATTTGTCGTAAGTGAAAAATCCTCCTCTCTAATTACGTGCAAAACCCGCTTTACAATGTTCCCAACAGCAAGCTCTGCAAGGCCGTTCATACAACATTTTCATTATAAATATACCAAAGAAGACCTGATAAGCTACCACATAACTCCAGACCTTTGAAGTTGTGCTGGATAAACAATTAGAGTGCTTATTACTCGCAGGGGGGAATCATGTTATTTTTATAGTTTATAGTGCCTAATCCTCACTCTTAAAGTGACAAGGGAGCTCTTCAATTGTCCTGAGCTTTCCACCAGTACACTTCTTATATTCATCTATGCCTATAAACCAATATTGCTTCCTAAAGGAAGAAAAATATTCTTGATTGTAGAGGAATGGAATTCAAAACCTGTACTTTTCTTTCAGAAGTCTACAAAAGGCATCATCGAGACCACAATTCATCTTTTTAATCACTTCTATCTCAACAAACCCGATGAGGAATTTACAGAAGAAAACTGTAAGCATACCAACAGGATTGGCAGCAACGAGCTGCTCCCCCACACTTTTTACAGCTTCAATGAGAGTTTCAGCCCGGTTGGTTTGTGGCATCTTCAGCTGGGATATGACTGACCGAAGCAACTCCGCTGTCAGAAGAGCAGTTGCCTGTGAACCCTCCACCTTCCTGCCACCACAGAGATAAAAGAAAAAAAAAACATACAACAAAGAAAGAAAACTTTTTTCTTGGATTAGCACAGGTATCCGAGCCAAGTCCCGACTAACTTTGCCCAAGTCTGATGATCTATGGAATTGTTTGTACCTAACAAGAGTCTAACATGGAATTTTAAAAGGGAACATACTGTTGAGTCTGAACTCTTCTCCGCTAGGCTACATATTACATCATAAGTATTCATGTCCAAGAACAACCTAATTAAAGTTCAACATGTGCAGTAGTTCCTCACAAATATCATCAAGAACGTCAAAATCACCACAAATTCATGCATGCTCATACGAGCCTGTGATCTATGATATATACCATGCCACAAACCATGGATGACAAAAATAACCCTTCTTCCTAAAATTTATATGTACATCACATTACTGTTGACAAATTTATGTGATATAGTATCACATTCGTGTGTAATTAGCAAAATAACAACAACAATAATAATAAACATGGAAATTAAAGACAAAGTTGAACTCACCGTTTTCTAAGCTTGGTGACAAGCTCGTTCACAAGAATCTGAGTGCCTGGCATGTTTAGGCCTAAATCACGACAATAATAAGAAATATGTTTTTTTCGGAAAACAAGACATGTAAAGGAAAAAAACAAAACGTCGAAACTGATTGAAAGTTAAGCGCATGTACCTGTTCTTAAAACCCTAAAAGATAATAAAAGAAAATAGTCTTAGGGTTTATGGCGAGGAGACTTTGAATTTTTAAGTAGGGTTTAAGAATTTCAATCCTTTTTTTTTTAATTACGATTTCTTTTAATTGCTTGAACTTAAAATAAAAGATCCCGACCTTACCTAGCAAAAATAGGAACAGCCTAATTCCTCTAAACAAATCTAAACTAGTTTTAAGGATATTCTTCTCGGATCCATGTTTCCTAAATCGTCACAATTAGTTACGTTTCTTTCCGTTTTTTGTTTTTTCTTAAAGTGAAACGTTATTTAATTTGTGGGCACAACTTACAATAAACCGGACCGCACAGAGCGCTCATAAATCATATTTTGTATATTTTATTAATTATAATTATAATTTAAATGAATCAAAACCAAATATTTAAAAAGCAAATCACGCTTCAGAAAAATAAAACACATGTATTGGTTGAGTAAAATTCATAAATTAGAGGAGAGTGGAGATTTTTTTTTATTAATTACACCATAGATTAAAAAACTATTAAATCTATATCATCAATATTTTTTTGAATAAAACTATGATATCTTACATTGAGAGAAGAGTGTTCAGAACCAGAGCTTATTAAGATATTGGGTATCCAACCTTGTAAAACATGCTTTGGGATCGTTGATTTCTAAAAACAAAACTGTAAGGGCAAAAGACCCAAAACGAATAATATTATAAGGAAGAGTGAGCTAGACCTTACATATAGTATTAAAGCTGAGAACGACTCGTTTTTAAGAAGGGAGGATTGTAATATCTCATATCGAGAAAAGAATATCTAGAGTTAGGGCTAATTAAGACAATGAGCACCTAACTTTGTAGAATGTGTTTTGAGGCCATGGACTGCTAGAAACAAAATCATAAGGGCAAAAGGTTCAAAGCAGATAAATTCTGCAAGGGGGAGTAGGCTGGGCCTTGCCGAGGACGACTTGTTTTTAAAATAGGGGAATTGTGATATCTCACATTGAGAGAAGAGTGTTCAGAGCCAGGACTTATTAAGATAATGAGTATCTAATCTTGTAAAACATGTTTTAGAGTCATGCATTGCTAAAAACAAAATCGTGAGGTCAGGCCTTACAAAAACTATAATTAATGTGTATTAAAGACGGATAAAAATATCTTTATTACATATTATAAATCTGATTGGGTTAATTTTTTTCAGCAGAGTATATGTCAGTGCATGATTAATATGTGCTCAATGATAGCTTATAAAGAATTAACTTTTTTATATTGCATCAAATAATGAAAAATAAATTAATGAAAAAAATTGAATATTAAATTAAAAAATAAATTACTTCTAAGAAATTATTGTAAATTTAGATCAATTGTAGTGAAGAAAATCTCTTTAAGAATAATTTCTAGTGTATATTAAAGATGTAATAAGAAAAATATTTAAATGTCTCTCAAGCTGGGTGTGGTAGATTGACATATTTCAATAAAAAAAATTAATTTTTTTATGAGGCGTCAATTTTATTTTATTTTTATCACTTTGCGGTTGTTTTATATGTTTTTTACACTTTAATTTCAATATAAGAACAATTGCAGTGTATTTGAAGTTTTGTAAGAATATTAACATACTTTTAAGGAAAATAAACCAGAAATAATATAATAAAAATCCAAATTATAAATTAAAAAAAAACTTGCTATAAAAAATAAAAAATCCTTTTTCGGCCATGAACGACTCTTTCATGGGCACCCGTTAATGCAGAGCTCATTCATTCGACCTTTTCAGCATCCTTTTTAACTAGAAAAGCCATCTCCATCAGCTTTTATCTCTTGCTTTCAATAAAAAAAATCTCATCACCATTGACAAACGAGAGACTACTAGTCTGATCTCTCCTTGCAATTGGATGCTTCTTTTAAACTCAAGCTCTCCCAAGAACATATTTGAGCCCATGTCCTCCTTATATCTGTGAGTTTACTGTCATCAGATAGGTTCGTTAATCATTGGCGTGGAGGCCATAGATTTGACAACATTATGTTAATACAAAGAAAATATTTAGAATTGATCGGCTTATTCTTGTTTTATAGCTATGTGTATAACCCTCACAACAGCTTGAACTTGAGACCTCTTAAGGTAAAAAAGATATCAATTGAGATACAGCTTATCAGCACTTGAGTTTGTATCCATTCACCAGCTTCATCATCCCGAAAGTTCAAAATCAATATGCTTCTCTTGAATTAAATCCCCAAGTGCAGAAACATAACTAATAAATATAATTACTTCCTTCCACTACCATAAGCTGAATTAATTTGAGGTTAAATATTACACAGAAAAAAAAAGGGGGCTTAAACTTACAAATAAAGCAAATCATTTCTTAAATAAGATTTCCAATACATTGAAGCATGTCAAACAAGTATTTTTGAGTAACAACACAAATCTACATATGGATTTACGGATAGAAATGTATTTCAAGATCAGGCAGTCATCTGAAGGACTCAACTGGTGCCGAATCTTCCAGAAACGCTGCAGCCTCGAAGCATTCGGCTGCCTCAAGTGCTGATGCACTGGGATCAGCCTTGTAGAGCAGTCCAAGGTTGTACCATGCAGAATGGTTTGTTTTGTCGAGTCGAATAGCATCAGTGAGAAAGCTTCTGATAATTGGTATTGATTGACTACCAAGTCGTCTGAGGACACAGGCAGTGGATACCAAGCTTGGGACATGGTTGGGTTCCGCATATAATGCTGCCTTGAATGCTTTCAGAGCCTCTTGATGCAAGCCCTTTGCTTCATAGAGTAAACCTAACATGATCACCATTTGTTTTTGTTTATATATCAATATATTAGGAAGATCTGGCAGAGAATTTGTTCATACTTTGCTACAGAAGACTTAAAGAAACTATATATATCTATATTATTCTTATTTTTAATTTGGTACCCTAAACCTAAAACTCTAATGCAAGGAAAATGACATGATATGCCTGCAACTAACATAAACGACTAAAATTCTAAAATTGAACTTTCAAGATGAGTTTTCTGCATTATAGATTCAATTCCATAGTTTTAAGCAATCTTACATTTTGGAGCCATTCCCTAGCATCATCCCGCAAGCTTACGAGACATCAAAAAAACTGAGCTGACAGGAGCTAATGAGCAGAAAAGGGAACAACTCCACTTAAACTAGGTACTTATATATTATATGTAGCTTCATGTGCATGCATGTACCAGCTCGAACACAGAGACATAATGAAGGTGAGAGTGCATCATTTTTTAACATCTACTCACCTGTGGAGTGCCATCTCGAAGCAGAATAAGGGCTGAGAGTCTTTGATTTTGAAAGACAGACCTCAGCATCCCGCCACTGTGACAGACTTGTGTACACATTAGCCAGATCGTGCCATGTTTCCATTTCCAAACTCCAGCTGTTTCTCTGATTCTGTAGATGTATGTGTATATGTATATACATATATGTACGGAAAATGATTTAGAGATAACATATTTGTGCTATTCAATACTACTATTTTGCCTTAGCACAGGCTTCATGGGTTCATACCCAAACTTTAGTTCTTTTCACCTCTCACAGCAATGGTAGAACCCAAAAGCTTTTCAAATCACATAGACTTTGGGATGAGAATAGCTCGTCCTAGAAAGCTCATCGGAATTTGGTTATTCACCAAAAATTTCCCATGAAAACTTTATCAAACATGAGAAGTCCAACTCTCATCTCAAGGTTGAAAAACATAAATTCTTCGTAAAGTATTGCAAGTACTGCTCCTCGTACCATAAATCTATTTCTGGTTTCACAATATAGTTAAACTACGATTACTTCTAGGAAATTTGACAGAATTTTATATATATATATATATATATATATATATATATATATTCCTATATTCCATTGACATTCAAAGGCACTTTTGTATTTTGAAGACTGCAAATATTTATAGTTTTGTGCATTACAAAAGAAATACAAAATTTATGAAGCCAGCAGTACTCATTCAAAAATTTAAATTTATTTTCTTCAAAACTACTCTTGAAAAGATCAAACAAGGTTCCTGGTGATATTACATTCAAACAACTATATTATGGATTCTAGAGATTAATGGCGAGGAAAGATAACTTTCAAGAAAGTACTTCATGAGAGTTAAAAGCAAAGATCAAATCATCAAACGAGCAAACCCTTGTTTTCATTAAAACAATTTCCCGGTGCATATTCAATTTAGAAAAAAATAAATTGTATATGCTTTGAAATGATTATGCTCCAAGATTAAGACAAAGTTCCCCCCCTTTTTTTTAAGTGTTGACTTTCTGGATAGTGAAAAATTAGCAATTTAAACGTCCTAACACATGTTTTCTCAGAGTGTCACTGGAACAGGTGTGTAAATCAGTCCACATACCATTGCAAGCTTCTTCCCAGCACCTAAGCTTTTAGTTTGAACTTGGATGATAGCAAGAAGACGAGTGTAGGTCTCTATGGCATTCTTTAATTGCCCCTGTGCAATCTGGAGTTTGGCTTTTGTCCGCAGCAGTTCCCCTTGATCCCACTTCCCAGTTTGATCTAGAGCAGCATTGATTACATTCTCTGCGTCAACAAACCGTTTTTGAGCTGACAATATTCGAGCCAAAAGGATATAACTTCTAACACTAGACCCAGCCTCCAGTTTCAAAAGCTGCTTCGCATGGTAAAGGGCAGCATCCAACTTTCTCTGCTCAGCATTTTCTAGACTGAGATGGAATATGATAGATGGATCTCTTTCTATCATCATTTTTTCAGCACTTTCCAGCATCTCCAGTGCTTCACTTTGTTTTGAAATTCTCTCAGAATCAGAAGCAACTAATCTGGATTGAGTTGACAGTAAAATACCCTGTAAGCAGTTTGCAACACTTTCCATCTGGTTGCATCTACCACACAACTCAGAAAGCGCCCTGGAAGCATAACTTAACCCTTCTTCCACGCAAACCGTATTCTTTGCGCAAATGTTTGAAGCCAATAATAATTCCAAAACACAGTCTGGGTTTCCTCTGTTAAACAGCAAATTCCTCAGAAGATTCAAAGCAATCATTTCCTCACCCTCTCCATGATAACAGAGAGCGAGAATGCTATATCTTTCTCTCCTTTCCATGATCCCTGGAAGCAACTCTTCCACCTGATGGGCCAGTGCTCTCTGTTCCCCTGAAACAGATAGTGCAAAAGAAAGGTGATACATGATTGTCGG